GCTCACACCTGTAATCCCAGCATGTTGGGAGGCCGAGGTGGGCAGATCACCTGAGGTTAGGAGTTCGAGAGCAGCCTAGCCAATATGGCGAAACCCTCTCTCTACTAAAAATACAAAAATTGGCCAGGCACAGTGGCTCATGCCTGTAATCCCAGCACTTTGGGAGGCTTAGGCAGGTGGATCATGAGGTCTGGAGTTCAAGATCACCCTGGCCAAGATGGTGAAACCTTGTCTCTACTAAAAATACAAAATGTAGTCGAGCGTAGTGGTGGGTGCCTATAATCCCAGCTACCTGGAAGGCTGAGGCAGAGAATTGCTTGAACCCAGGAGGTGGAGGTTACAGTGAGCCAAGATCACACCACCGTACTCCAGCCTGGGTGACAGAGCGAGACTCCATCTCAAAAAAAAAAAAAACAAAAAAAAACCAAAAATTAAGCCAGGCACAGTGGCTCATGCCTATAACCCCAGCACTTTGAGAGGCCGAGGCAGGCGGATCACCTGAGGTCAAAAGTTTGAGACCAGCCTGACCAACATAGCAAAACACTGTGTCTATTAAGAATGCAAAAATTAGCCAGGCGTCATGGTGTGCATGTGTAATCCCAGCCACTCAGGAAACTGAGGCTTAAGAATTACTTGAACCTGGGAAACAGAGGTTACAATGAGCGGAGTTCACACCACTGCACCCCAGCTTGGCCAACAGAGCGAAATTCTGTCTCCAAAAAAAAAAAAAAAAAAAAAAAAAGGGCCCAATACACTCAGAAGCTAGCAGAATGAGAGGGTGCAGTAGCCCTGGGGGTAAGGTGAGGAAGGCTGGTGTTCAGACCTTAGCATGTGATAGTAGGAGGTCAGTGACTGAGCGGAAAAAGGAATAGAAGCAAAGATTAGATCCCTCGCTCTCCTTTCTCTCTCCTTTCTCTCTCTCTCCCTCACACATCTCATGTCTCCTAATTCTTTGAATTTTCATTAAAACATTTTTTTTCTTTGGCCTAAAATATTTAGTTTGTCTCTCCAAATCTAACCTGAAATTCGGGCTTTCTCTCATAACTCAATCCCAAAAAAATCTCAGTTGGCCATTTGTTCTTTAACCTCCTCACTCTATTGCACTTTTTTTTTTAACTGGTTCTGGTTCAAGATTTGGGTCTTTCTACAGAAGTGTATGTGTGTATGCATGTCCTGTGTGTTTGAATGCATGTGTGTGTCATGATATGTGCAGTACAACACATAATTATGTATCTTCCAGAAAATATAGATGCATATCTCTGTAATAAATCTCTTTTATGACTAAATCAACCTATATTCATGACAGGTATGTGTGTCAATGCCCAGGCTGACCTACAGGATGCCAGAAAGCTCTAATATACTAAGGCAAATTTTAAAACTGCAAACTTTTGAAGTTTTTTCTTAAATTTCACAGTGCCATCCATTCAACTCCCAGCATTCTGAATAAGGCTCACATGGTAACTTGTGCTATCAGCAAGACTAGGAAAGCAGCTCAGGAAGAAAGGACAATTATGTAAAATATTTTGTAATGATCAACATGTGACTGCTCGTGCATCATCTTTTATATCCAAAAAATGGAAGGAAAAGAAGCAAAGGCTATTCTGTTAAAGGCGAATCCTGTCCCTCATCTTTTCTTAAGTTGTCTGGCTTATTTATTAGGGTCTAAATATAAAGTTAGTAACTTGGCTAGGTTCAAGAACCATAGTTCTTGAACTTTGTTAACAAATGAATCAAAAGAATCTCTTTTCACTAGCCAATCTTTTCACTAGTTCATAAGAACCCAGTATCTTTTTTTTTTTTTTTTTTGAGCCAGAGTCTCACTCTGTCATTCAGACTGGAATGCAATGGCACAATCTCAGCTCACTGAAACCACCATCTCCCGTGTTCAAGCAATTCTCCTGCCTCAGATTCCCGAGTAGCTGGGATTACAGGTGCTCACCACCATACCTGGTTAATTTTTTATATTTTTGTTAGAGACGGGTTTTTACCATGTTGGCCAGGCTGGTCTTGAACTCCTGACCTCAAGTATTCCACCCACTTTGACCTCCCAAAGTGCTGGGATTACAGGCATGAGCCACTGCGCCTGGCCTATAAGAACCCAATATCTTAAACAGAAGATAGATGAGCTACTTTGGTTAAAGTAGTGTAAGGTGGCCTGGAGCTCCTCATCCTCGATTCCCCAGGTGGGGCATTCTGTGGACTTGTGCAGTCCAGTGAGCTACAGTCTGAAAACCCCCCAGGTTAGAGCACTGCACTAAGGGAAGTGCAAGTTGCTTTCACAACAGACTCAAGTAAATGTAAGACCAACTGAAATTAGCAGAGAAACAGACACAAGTGCCAACTGAAAGCTCTTCTCTTACATTGTTGAGATTTCATAAGTACTAAGAACTGAGATGCTTTCAAACCTTAGGAGTGAGAGATTTCCTGGGATACAAGATTTTCTTGTTTGTTTGTTTTCTTAAGACACTTTAAGTGCTGAGATACATGTGCAGAACGTGTAGGTTTGGTACATAGGTATACATGTGCCATGGTGGTTTGTTGCACCCATCCACCCATCATCTACATTAGGTATTTCTCCTAATGCTATCCCTCCCCTAGCCCCCACCGCCTGACAGGCCCTGGTGTGTGATGTTCCCCTGCCTGTCTCCATGTGTTCTCACTGCTCAATTCCCACTTATGAGTGAGAACATGTGGTGTTTGGTTTTTCTCTTCTGGGATACAAGACTTTCAATGCTAAAATCAAGACAGTCATGGGCCAGTCACAAGAGCTAGTCACCCCACCAAGGTTATTTATCCTTTTAGAAAGTCCAGGTACCAAGTCAAATCTTGTCTTTCAGTGCTCAGAGAGTAGCGGCAGCATCTTCTCGTGGAGAACACAGCACATTAGGATTCATCTGAGTCATGCGTGTTTGGCATTGGAGAGCTCTAGGTTCTCAGATAGGGGAAAGAGAGGAGAGAAAATGAAAAAGTACCCCTGTTCTAAACCACAACACAGAGAGCAGATATATAAATGCACACCCACACAATTTGAGAAAGACATTATGTTTATTCATTTTTATCACCATTGGTTCTTCTTTAGATAACAAAGCACTTACACATAATCTCTTTTCAGCTTCTGAGACAGGAAACTTTACAGATGAGGTAGTGGCTGGGCTCTTTTCTCTCTCAAATTCAGTACCCAGAGTCCTACTAACCACATAACCTGAGGACATGATTTAGGGTCACAGGTGAGGACAGCACAGGAGCAGCAATTCCCTCACATGCTATAACACCTGCCATCCAAGGTCAACAGAAAGAGCCCTTCCCCCAGCCTGCAAATTCCTTTGAATCAGCCGTGCCCAGGGAGATTCAGCCCTGCTTAATTACAAGGCTGAATTCTAAATGTGCTTGGTGTTTGTCAAGTCAAGAGAGAGAAAACTACTGTCTGTGATTTATGTCTGCCCAATGATAAACTGTATTATTCAAGAAAGAAGAGCAGATGGCCCCCAAACAAGACAGTTATGGCCCATAATTATAATAGTTAGAGTACCCAGTGGATCTCCAGGACACCAAGAGAGCAAGAAATCTGACATTCACACCAAAGACATTGAAAGAAAAAGGAGTTTAAGCCCCCAAATAATAATACAAGTTGAGACCCTTCTTTATCTCAATGAAAAGGTTTATTTCCTCATGGCAGAAGATAGCAAGAGTGTGTGCTGTGAGTAGACCATGGCCCCAGGCAGGACGTGCAATGTCTTCATGATGCCATCAACTCTACCATGAGCATCAGCTTTGAGAGAAAGGACCTTGCAGTGATTTGGGTTATCTAGGGAGAAACTTAACTCATCAAAGGCTGATTTACATCAGTCATTTTTGTCCCTTATTTCCATTGCTGACAGTCTGGTTCTATTGTCTGTGACAATTAGATTTTGCAGTCTTGAAAATAGCCATGCAAATTACCAAAATGTTTTCCATTTGAGACCTTATACATATTTGAATTAAAACAACTCTAAGCTGTTAAATGGAATTAAATGAAATAGGCTGAATTGGGTGACTAAAATTTTAAAACTTCTGCAAGAAGCTTTCCCTATCCCAACCTCTTTATTAATGGCCAATTGTAAATGACTTTTGCAAATGGAAACACCATTTCTCACTTTTTTAAACAAGTACTACACTGTACTGTCTTAACTCCCCCCATTCAATTTAAGCATCAAGATTTATAGCTTGTTGTGAGCTCCTCTGTCTTTCTGTTTCTTCTTTGTACCTCTCCAAATGCTCAAGCAGCTCTTTTTAGAATGAAGTGAAGATAGTTTGTAGTGAACTCAAACTAGCATTCTGAGACTTGACTTTCAAAAATTTTGTATTCTTCCCCATTTCCTTGATTCTAATCTAAAGACTTCGTTGCTACACAGCAACAAACTCCACCCCAAATTCTAAACTCTTTCATTTCATTTGATCTTTCTGCAATGCATAGCCAAATTTTGGTCATCAGCAAATTGCTTTAGTATTTCTTTGTATAGTGGTGAATTTTATCAGAGATGACAGACACCTGAAACAACTTTTATATAGGCCAGGGAGCATAGGAGACTACCAACAAATGACCCTACATAGATACACAGACGTGTGTGCAAACACACACACACACACACATGTTTAGTTTATATCAACCACATATCTGCTTTTTTTTGCTTAAACTATTTATACCAGATACCCAAAAATTTGGCGGTGAACTCCATTTCTTCCCTTCCTTTTCTTTTTTTTTTTCTTTTTTTTACACTATAACTTACTTTTTATTGAAAGTATCTTGCATTCATGATGGATGTTTTCTGAATTTTACCACATATTTTAATGTTAAATGTTAAATTATTTTTTACATGCAAGTAGTGTGAATAATTTTCCCCACATGGGAACACTGATTATAAAAAGATGACACCCCACATAGGTTAAGTGTCTTTAACTGAAAAGCTAACAAACTGTCCAGTTCCATTTCTCTCAAAAAACCACAAACTGGGTAGTAATTGAGTCTCTAGGCAATATATTTAAAGCTAAGAGGATTAAAAATAAAATTAAAGATAAAGAAAACAAGTCCTCAGATGCAATGAAGGGAGGAGCCCTGCTAAATACAGGCTAATCAATACAGTGGTAGTCCTTGCCTGCAGGAGGCTGAAAGACATCCTAGTAACTCCACTCAGAACATTTACTTCAAGAAGCCTTTTCCAGTTTCCAACTCATGAATAAAGATAATATTTTGTTAATTCTATTCCAGATAACTTTTTTGCAGGTTGTTTTATTTACAATGCCAACTTTTAAAAGGTCACTAAAGTTAACTGGACAATAAACTAGGCAGACACTGCTTTACAAAAAAGAGGGAAAGCCCAAAATGCCACTTATAGAGAACCCACAGTTCAGTTTTATTCAGAGCAAAGAAAAAAGAAACTTTCAATCATACTAGAAGAAACTCAGCCATAGATTTGGAATCTGTACTCAAACTACACATGCAATGAGGACAATATTCTGTGAATACAATTGACTTGCTGCTGCATTTGTCGACTGTTTGTCTAATATTAACAATTATAAACAGAGCAGTGCAACTAGTATTTGGAACAGTCCTTACGGTGTTACAGTGTCGGGTACAACATTTCACTTCTCTTCACACCACTGGTTCTCTTTGCGTACCTGGGCTTCCTCCTCTTCAGTGAAGTCATTTTTGATATTGAAGGTCTTGCGAATCTCCTCAGGAGTTTTCCCCACGATCATATTGGCAACAGTCTTGCATGTAACATCAAGCAAACCTTTGATGTCTAAGTAGTTTGCAGCCAGAATGAGTTCAAAAAGTGTTCCTTGGTCAACTTTCAGGAATTCTTGGTCCCAAACAGGAATATCATCTGTTCGCGTTTCTTTGTTCTCATCATCCTCAGGAGGAGGAGGCTCATCCTTGTGGTGGGTGCACCACTGAATGACCTTTTTTAATATTGCCGCATTAACATTTGGTAGAGGAACTGGGTCATCATCTCCTTCATCATCCATTCCCAAATCTTCCAACATGGTCTTGATAGTCACAGATTGTTTGGCAATTTCAACATCAACTACAAATATCTCTCCATCAGAACTCTGTAATTTAATTGAAGGCATGGTGTTCGGTGTTAAGGAGACGGCTGGCCAGAAGCTGACAAGAGCCGCAAGGCATCAGCGAAGGAAGAGAAAGGCTGAGGACGAAGCCACTCCATTTCTTCCCTTTCTGTGTCTTTATTTTAATTTAATTTTTGTTTCCTTTTTTCTCTTTTTCATCCCTGTGTTTCACACACATATGCCCAAATACAGCAAAAGCACATGCAGATAAATTTCTCAAGAAGATCAATGTGTGTGTGTGTGTGTGTGTGTGTGTGTGTGTGTGTGTGTGTGTTTATGGGCTAGGTCTTTCATTTATTTGTTTATTCATTTGTGGCTTTCATATAAGTACTTGACCTCTGCAATTATATGACTATAAAACCGCAAAGTCAACTGTTGTACATTTTGATGAATCAAGCATTTTAAACAATGAAATGCCTCTCGATTATTTAATGTTGACTTTATAACCAAAGCAATGCTTTCATGAAGTGAATCATTTCTATGAACTTGCAGAACTCAAGATCTCTTCACCAACTTCATTTCTTAACTCTTTATTTTCTAATTTTTATAACTCTTAAGCTAAGCTTTTCTTTGAATCCTGGTTATAATACCCTGGACTCAATCCCAAGAATGTATCTTTCTCTGAGTTACTATGACTGTTAGTATATGTATGGCACAGAATTAATAATTATGCTGATGTAAGTTTTCCTAAATACAACATTGAGTATCAAACACACTCTAAGTTAAACCAAAACTGTATTAACCAACCAACTTATTAAGCGTCTATTTCCTGCCAGCCAATGCATTAGGCTCTGCGGAACTTACTGGTGAATAGATACATGTAGTCCCTGCCATCATGGAATGTATAATCTAGTGGTAAAACAGCCATTAAATACACAACCAAATGTGATAAAGAAAGTTACAATAGAAACGTCCAACCAGGCTTTTTTTTTTTTTTTTTTTTTTGAGACAGAGTCTCACTCTTGTTACCCAGGCTGGAGCGCAATGGCACGCTCTCACCTCACTGCAACCACCGCCTCCTGGATTCAAGAGATTCTCCTGACTCAGCCTCCTGGGTAGCTGGGATTACAGGTGCCTGCCACCATGCCCAGCTAATTTTTTGTATTTTTAATAGAGGTGGGATTTCACTATGTTAGCCAAACTGGTCCTGACCTCAGGCAATCCACCCGCCTCAGCTTCCCAAAGCTGGGATTATGGGTGTGAGCCACCGTACCCAGCCCAGTCAGGCTTTTCTAACCTAGAAAAGGCTGGTGACTCAGGAAGGACTTGTCGAATTAGGGGTTTTCTAACTGCACCTGGAAGGATGAATAGCAATTAGTGAGGCAAAGATGAGACCACAACGTTTCAAGTTAAAAGGGCAAAAGGCGAAATTCAGGAGGGAAGAAAAAACACCTTTCCTTTGTTTAATTTTTTAACTTTTGCATCACATATTCATATATCCCTTGTACTGTTGAAACATTTTGCTATGTAACTATACGTATTCTGGAATATTTATGTTTTTGGGAATCTCTCCCAAAATATAGTTGCCTAAATTCCTGACATGACTTGACTTTTAATTAACTAAAGACAATAAGAGAAAGAAAATAGGATATCTCTTTGGTACTTTCTGAGTTTAGAAAATTTAACTAATTCTGATGTTTTAGCTGCAGTATTCTGGAAAGGTGATAGAGACAAAATCCATTAAAAGTAGCTTCTTTTCCTTCCGCTGAGCCCCTAGAGCTTATTCTCAAGGCCATAAACTCATGAACCTTACTAAAGTGAAACACCTTCATAATATTTCTCTGAGGGCCAAGGAAGGGAAGCATTGTGCATGTGTGAGCATTAGGCTGCTCTTTAAAAGGATGTAGTAAGTGGGTTTCACTGTACTGGCAACTCTCGTGGGTTCATTTTTTCCGCTACACTGAGTAGCACGTTCATATCTGATTTTCAGTGCATTTGCTCCTAGTGATCTCTCAGTGTTTCTGCTTCAGGAAGGTTCACTGTTCAGTCCTTCTTTCTTTCTCTGGGTAAAGGGTGGGTCAGAAGGTAGTATCAGCCTGAGAGTCGCTGCCCTGAGCGCCTCAGAACCGAGCTGCAGATGTTCTCTGTGCATGAGGCGCCTGGGAAGGGAAGGTGAGACTTTCGCTCCAGACCCAGCTTCACAGCACAATGAATGCACGGGTATTTTCTTTGCCAGCTTCGTGTCCACATCCGTTATACTTTTCTGAAGTCTTTAGATCTCATTAATAAACATCGCAGGGAAAAAGAGCCCTGTATTCAAATAAGTTTGGGAAATACTGGATGAAAAAAAATTAACTAGACTTGTGCATGTGTTCTTTAGAAATCCCTCTCGGGGTCTTTAATATGCTCATACACATTGTGGATGTTTGAGAGAAAGAGCTTTAAGTATCCCTTACTCATCTCATTTAGCCACTAACTATGCTTTTCCTCATCGCTCAGGGCTGGTGTTCCAAAAAGCATACTTGGAAAAGCACAACTCTGCTACTCTTCTCCATTGCCTGATTGAGACTAAGAAATTTTTCATTTGCTGACTTTCCTTCTACACATCTGTTCCTCATTCTTCTCCCCAGTATTACTTGCCCATTTCTCTGTTCTATTCCTTCACCCTTCCTTCTCTTCCTCCTTTTATTCTCTTTTTAGAAATTTAAAATTACTAATGAGTGCCTGGGAAAGTGCCTTTGAGATCTCAGGCTCTGGTCAAGGCTCTGCAAAGAGATCACCAAAGCTCTCTGCTCCCTTGAGAGGTTTACATTGAGAAAGAGCAGGTGAGATGGAGAGGAGAACTAAATAAGTAAGCAAATACATGTAAAAGTGATTTTTTTTTTTTTTGAGGCAGAGTCTCACTCTGTCACCTAGGCTAGAGTGCAGTGGCACAATCTTGGCTCACCACAAACTCTGCCTCCTGGGTTCAAGTGATTCTCATGCCTTAGCCACCTGAGTAGCTAAAATTACAGGCATGTGCCACCATTCCCGACTAATCTTTGTATTTTAAGTAGAGACAGGGTTTCACCATTTGCCCAGGCTGGTCTCGAACTCCTGGCCTCAAGTGATCACCCACCTTGGCCTCCCAAAGTGTCATGATCACAGATGTAATCCAGCACCCCTGGCTCATGTACAAGTGTATTTTATCTACTACTTCTTGTGAATTAAACCTAAGCCCACTTGATACAAGTAACTCTTGGATTCTATTTGGTAGATGATAGTTATAATCATCTCAAGGTTTGAGATAGAAGAAAGTAAGCTCCTCCCCCACAATCTTGTTTTTGATTAAAGCAAGACTCACAACAAATTCTGCCACACATAGGAACTTTATTAAATAAAACGTATTAGCCCCCAGGCATAAGACAGTTAATAAAACCCATTCTGTCTTGGTGGAGTGCCATGTCTCTGTCCTTTTAGGCGTTCCCTCCACAATCTTGAATGAATGGTTCACTCAAGACTGATGTGACAATATTCCAGAAACAGTAGTCTGCCACCCTCACTGTCAGCATCAAGCAATTCAGAGTCTTTTAAACCAATGTCTGCACATGGAAGATTCGGAGATCAAGCTTTGTGATCCAGTCCTAAGAATAAACGGTTTTCCTCTCCATATCTTGTTCATGTCAGGTTGGGGGATATAACCAAAATATTTTTTGACACATCCACCTTGAATTTTTCTAGCAGTCATATGCTAATTAACAAAGCACTAGTTTCACCAATAAAAATCCACTTCTGACATTCACTATGCTAATTAGTACAATATCTTTATCAGATAAAGATAGCTGAAGTGCTTGCTTGTGGTAGCCTCCTCTGGAGTGTGGCCTTTCGCTGTCAGCTAACAGCCTCCCAGCTGCCTCTTGGGGAGTGAATTCCTGATTAGAATGCTAGCTGCACCAGGGGTGCAGCTTCCACCAACCCATCCTTAGATCGTAAGATCTATTCTGATATATTTTATGTAAATTACAGTGTGGCCTCTCTACATCCTATAAAGGAAACAAAATAGGTTAGTGGCTTGGAGAGTTTCTTTTTCTTTTTTTTTTTTTTTTTCTAGGAGGAGGACAGTGGAACAGCGATACCTAAAGATGTTCAAGTTAATATCTGAGTTTAGAGAGCAGCTAGACTTAAGAACATTTTAGTGAATTGCATTCCAGGCAGAGGTAAAAGGAAGTGCAGAGGTTCGAATGCAAATGTAAGCTTGATGTGTTCAAGGATCGACACAAGTCCAGTGTGCCTAGTGCAGTGAGACACCATCAGAAGGAGAAGAGATGGGATCAGGAATATAAGGAAAAACTTGATCACCGAAGGCCGGGTTAAGAAGCTTGGTTTTCATTCCAAATATAATGGGAATTTATTGCAGAGTTCTTAGTAGGGGAGCAACATCAAATTTATATTTTAAAAGAGGTCTCTGCTGAGCGAGGAGAACGGATTGCAGGTGGGCAAGAGAGGAATCTGTGAGACCACTTAGGAGCTTTTGTGGTTCATAAAAGAGATTATGGTGGTCTAATTTAAGGTGGTATTAGTGAAGGTGGGAATAAATGAAAAAATTTCAGGATATCTTTGGACATAGAGCCAACAGAAGTTAGAGATTAAAGGAAATTAAGAGGCAGAATGAAGGTAAAGAAAACAAAAGCTAGTTTTGGGTTTCTGCAACTAAGTTGTTTGTGCAGAAATCTACTAAGATGGGGGAGGACTGAGGGAAATACAAGCTTTAGATGAGAGGGTGTGAGCAGAGGATTAATATCATAGAAAGATACCATCAACATGTATATTAGGAACTACTTGTAAGGTCACAAATTCTAAGCCAGTAGTTCTCAAGCCAGTTTCTTCCACTAAGGCTGGTCAATTTTTTCAGAGTTTGTAGAAATTGCTACAGGCACAGTAATACCTTCAGAAGCATTATGCTATCCATGCCTTTCAGCAGTTCTGCAATCGATAATCCTAGCCTTATTATCTTAAGTCTCTAAAAGCTTTGTGAAAATGAAATGCGGTTCTTCATATAAAGACAGGAAGCCCCACTAAAACAGTCACCGGCCACATGGCAATTACTGAAAGAAGAGATATATCACAGCCTTCAGACACAGAAGGTATAGGATCAAATTCTATCTCTGTTCCT